CAACGATTTTCGTCACCGGAAGAGCATGTCGAAGAGTACGAAAAATATGTTTCAGAGATTGTCACGGAGCAGTGGCATAAATGTTCTCAAAATTGGTTCAATCGTATGAAAAAGTGCATTAACGCTAACGGAGAATATTTTGAGAAACAATAAATTCATTTCTGACTATTTATAGTATTTTTTCTTATTCATTCCGGAAACTTATAGTGCGCCTTACGTATATCACGACAATATCTATATCACTATCTATCTATATCACTAGAATACCTACTTAAATAATAAAGTGCCACCAAAATTAGAGAAAGATAACCTGAAAATTACCCGGTAATCATTTCTCATTCACTAATTCGTTGTAATTATGTAAATGTTGTGTTAAGATTAAACAACTTTTTGATAAAAATACTACAAAATCTTTTAAATAATTAATTACTTGTCTAACTTTATCTACACGAGAAGCAATTTTTTTGTATTGTATTGTTAATAGTACGGTTAATGAAACTAACAAGCAATAAGTAAATTTGACGACCTCGGCGATCCAACGGTTTGTACTGTAAGCGCTGGATGGGAGGACCCGAGTTCATTTCCCGGTAGGACCAATTTGTCCCAGTGTAACGGCGGGTGTACACGCTAAGAAATTCGACGTGTCTGCTACAGAAACGATGAGAATGGTCTCGTACACGACAAGAACGTTGTCGGATCCTAACCACGAAAACGTATCGTGTCTGTTGCAGACGAGAAAATGATGAGTATGTACACGATATGAATGCTTTCGGACACACGTGTGTAGGGTAAAATGTGTCTGTGCATTACGAGTCTTCCAGGTATCTCTCGTTTTACTACCGACTGTGGGAAGAAATATGTTGTAGTATATGTTAACTACTAAGCAACACCGGCCCACGCGAATAAACGTTCGCTTATGGACAATGCACCTCATGCAATAGTAGATTAGACAAGATTTTTTCTTCTCCGGCGCCGAGGCAGTGTACTGTGTACACTCTTCACTTGTCTACACTATTCGTGTATAGAAACGATACGAATTCTTGCATAGACTCGGTGAATTTCTTAGCGTGGATACTCACCCTTATATGCTAGGCAACCGGGATCGTCAAAAAGTAACTATAATCAGTTTTCACTTAGTAGCAGAATCTTATAGAAAGAAAGAGTCAAGCATGAAATTCATTTATATTAATTAAGTTAACCTATAAAAGCTGAATGTAATAATCCTAATAATATAATAAATGATACAAAAAGCTACAATGTTTATGTCTCACAAAACCGTAGCCATTCAAAACTAAGACTTTACAACTCTGTAACCGCAGTATAACTCATTTAGCCCTTTAAACGTAATAAATTCAATCATACCGGCGCCCGCGCAGTTTTGTCGCAACGATTTCAAAGACTCGAAATTTGTCCCGACAATATTTACTGCCGTAGCATTGGCGGTAGGGTTGCAATTGGTTTGAAAAAGGAGTAAAATTTAACATGAAAGAGAATTTTGTAAAAAAAAGACGTAGAGGCATATTGTTAGGTTGTAACAAATTCTGTTTTGAATGCCATTTCAGTAAATGGAATAAAAAGTTAGCTTAAACTGGAATAACTGATGTACATTTTGGTTAAGGTATGAATAATTTGTATATAAAACACCTAATCTTTGTTTTTTCCAATAAGCTCAGGTCGATCTGATTTTTTTTAATACCTATACTGTCCCATTGATCAAATACAAGTTTTTTTGTTTCACGTATAATAAGCTTGCGCTTAGAATTACATTTTAAAGTTTTTTACACCTTTCATTTTGGCCCTGGTGTGGTGAGGTCGCTGGTTTGAGTCCAGCCGGATTTGATTTTATCTTTGTATCCATAATAACAACAAACTGGTTAAGTATTTCCCCAAAAAATATTTGAATACTATAAGTAAAAACATTTATTTATTTATTTGGTCGTTTTTTGCATAATACAATAATGTACAAATGACGGACTTAATGACATAAGGCATTCTCTACCAGTCAACCATTGGGCCAAAAACAAAAAAAAACAAAAGGTTGGTGCTACATTTAAAACAAAAATAAAAACCATAAGCAAAATTTTAACGGTTAATTAATACGGTATAAAATAAACATAATATAGCAAAATCATACTTAATATACACATAATATAATAAACAATACATACATAATTATATCTATTTTATATACATACATCATATAGCAACATCACGCGGAGTCTTGATCTCGACGATTGTCAAAAAAATTAATAATGAAACATCGTGATCATGATGTTTAATAAAATAAATATTACCTATTATATTTTAAATCTTAGTTTAAATACCTACATCAAAAACGCTCTGCCATTGTTATTTTGTTACAATTTAGGCAACTATAAATGTGCGACAGCCCTTTTACAACATAAGCGCAGGCGCATGATTCGCCGAGATCAAAGCGCGCGCATGTGTCTCGACATGAGGTCACATCGCTCCTCGGGGAGCCCTCCAAAACTTTGTATGTTTTGTAAATAAATATTTTATTTGCGTTCCTTTTGCGGCGAACTGTAAAAGTAGTTATTTTTAATCATGTTTTCAAATTTTTGTTAGAATTTTTTCATGAAAACTATACATGTGGATTGTACCTATATATTATTATTTTAAAGTAGCTTACTCTTTAATATACTAGACCTATGCTCGAGGTCAGTACTAACGAGGTCTTGTACAAGTATATATTTATTTGCAATAATAATTTTAGTGTATTGTATTAGTGAGACTAGACACACGTACCTACACGTCTCGTGTGTCCATGCGTGGGTACATCCAGTCAGTATCACGAGAGCCGTTAGCGTGTATGGACGGGGTGTTACGTCATGCATGACAATGTCGAAGCCACTGTTCTTAGGAAAGGAAGTAAACATAATAATAATAATAACCTGGCGCACGAGATCACCGACATGTGGGATGTAGCCTCCACTGAAACCATCCCAATTGTTTTGTCCGCAAATGGGTTAATTCCAGTGAGGCTTGCTAGCAGTTTGAGGCGGTTGAATTGCTGTGGCGTGTCGCTTCCAGCACAAATGCAGAAGGCGGCCCTGCTCGATACGGCACGTATTGTACGCCGATTCTTGAACCTGAGTCCCTGATCCCGGCCGACTGTGCCATTGCCGGGAAATACCGCCTATCCCATTTGGAAATTCAAAATTAATCTTTTAGGCCTTGGGAGAGGCGAGACAGCCTAAACTAATAATAATAATATACCAGAAAACCACCACTTAGTTTGACACAAGGTACCACCAATTGCCTAGATAGGTCTCAAACTAGGGAATTTCGTGTACTATGAGTAGCAGAACAACATAACTCACAGCGGGGCACTACTCCAAACACCCAAACCAATTCAGAAAGATTCATTTCCTACATTGGTCCTACTGAATCGAACCCAGGAGCTCCTCATCCAGTGCCACAGTGATAAAAAGATTTGGTGACGTTCTTAACTATTGACGACATGCACATGCTTTTAAATGAACACTTATAAAGCCAAATATAGAGAAGTACCGTCATAGTAAAGGGCGACTCTTCCTATGCCTTGAAAGTTTGTGCAACATGCTTGCAAACAAATGATTCTTATTTCTTTCGTATCGTATTATTCTTTTTCTCATACATTATATTATATCATGGTTGAATTAGTTAATTATTTAAGGCAAATTTAAAGGATCATTTAAATTTGCAAAAACAGCAGGCAATAAAATCTAAACGGTTATCTTTTTTAATGATTGATTATTTTTCTCTGAGACATAAAATAAATAAAATCAACCGATATTTTAATCTGTTCTGAACTACCCAAAAAATGATTGATTTCTTTATATTAACTTTCATAATTTTATGTTGGGTCTCAAGACTAAGACAAATGAAAAATGAGCATAAAAACTAAAATAAAGATACTTGTTTTTAAAAGTTGGTAAATGTTTATTATTTGGATACTAATTTTATATTAATTATGATATAATTTGACCTGAAAACGAGAAGCAAATTGGCTTCTGGCTCTACTTTTTCCAACCAAGCAACCAAGATTTATTAGATCAAAATTAAAGAAGATCAAGATCAAATTGAAGTTGGTTATAAATGTCATCAATCGTTATAAGAAAAGAGCAATAATAAAAAAGAGGTTGTAATATTATGTTTGAATACCAAATATTAATTTACACATAATAATAGTGTTACCTGAAGAAAACAGTTCAGAAAGCAGTTCATTTAATTTATCCGTAGATCAACTAATATAGACTGAACAATTAATATTATATCAAACATAAAAAAATATCGTTTATTTAAAAAAGTGCACATTTACAATAGATCAATTATATCTTTGAGGATCAAATAATACTATCTCATTACTTTATCTATGGAAGCCACGTCTTTTAAGAATTTAATTCAGTCTTAAGAGTAACAACTTTAATATTAATTTTAGATTTGAGACATCTCTTACCAACTGAAATGTGCTTTGTGAATAAGTAATCTACCTATTTTTATATTCTGTCCTCTCAATTCAACTTTTTTGCTTTCCTTTGTAACTTATGGTGACGGAATAAAAAATAATCGACATTGATTTGATGAACGAGTATTTTATTAGAGTGCCAAATCATTTATGGTCATCGAGTATGTAACCAGAAATAGAGACGAAATAAGGGCCATATATTTCTGGTAACAAATTAGCAATACAGCTCTTATAAATATCAACACTCGTTTGCACTGAAATATAGGCAGGCCAATTACTGACCTGTGTGTACGTCTCCGTATATTCCAAAAAATATTCTGTATTTATTGTAATAAAGATATTATCTCTAACAATGCCGTGCTGTTCTATTCGGTGATGTGGGAAAAACAACAAGACATCTAATTACAAAACAAACGGAATCACATTTCATCGGTAATTACACATTAAATATATTAATTTTGCAATTTTCGTCTATTATAGCAAAGCTCAAATTAACTAGTCGATTTGAAGTGAAACAGTTGACGACACCCGTCAATTGTTTCGAACTCAGGCTAGCCAATCGGAGCGCAGTTGTCACAGTGATGATATGGCAGAATAGTTTTCAAACAAATTAAATGCCATTTCGTCTCTATTTCTGGTTATATACTCGATGTTTATGGTATAGGGCACATCATGCTTGACAGGCTTGTCAGGCTTGACGTGCTTTCGACCTATATTTATGTAAATATTGGAATTGTTTATTCCCAAGCTCCAGGGCAGTCGTAGTACCGGTTGACGCGAAGCCAATCTTTTTCGGTGATGAATATTCGCTGTCCCATGTCACCCTCATGTTCCTGAAAAATAGGTTTCACATCAAATATATTTTTGGTGAAATTATAGGCACATGGGACTGGTCAACTTATCTCAGGGTGACAGGCGCAGTGGTAGTGTCCCTCAGATATTTGTGATTTAAAACTCTGAGTGGGCAGGCTTGCCGCTTAACACACTAGGCGTACGCCTTAACACACGCACAATAAAAAAATCTTCATGTTACAAGACGTTATACGTAATGAACTTTGAATCACTGCGATCCGCCTTGCGGTATACAAAGTTTTCATAGTTTTTATGTAAGTTTCATGCAATAATTTATAAATACACTATAATCAAGCAGTCCAATTAATGGTAACTCAATATAAAACATAATCAATAATAAAATGTAACAATAATAGATTTAATAAATTTATCTAATAAAAAATTTGAAGGTTGTAGTAGACCTTCGTAGCCAGTGCAATTACACTCTAGATTTTTCCAAAGAATTTAGCACTTTGTTAATTGGTTGCAAGCTCAACGGAAGTGCTTTACAAGAAAGTAATTACAATTATAGGATATACTCTAACGACAGTTGAAAGATAAAACTAAGGGTTCAAGCGAAATTTGGGGACCACATTAGACGGTCATATGTCATGTGATCTTCTTCAACGTTTTCAAATAAGTTTTCAAATTGAAGAAGAATTTCGTACTACTAAAATAGATGCGTTACTATCTTCATGTTTGATCATTACGTTAACTTTATGAAGCCGATTACTTTCCTATATTTATTCTAAGTGCAGTCGACGCTCAAACTGCTGCTGCTATACCTGACCCCCTGACTATTTGGTTCTGAATAGATGCCTAAGTGTCTGTGTAAGATCGTTCTACCAATTCAAACACTTTCTTCCCATCTCAACAAAAATCCTCTTAGTAGAGACCACTCTTTTCCCTATCCTTGATTATGCTGATGTATATTATGCTGATATGACCCAGAAACTTCTCAACAAATTGGATCGCTTGCACATTTGCATTCGTTTATTTATGGTCTTCGAAAAGTTGATCACGTGTCCGCATATCGTAAAGGGCTGAAGTGGCTTACGATTCGCCGGCGCCGTGATTTGAGAATACTTTCCACTCTTTACTCTGTTATTAATGGTCAATGTACACCTGGATTTCTATATTTGAGTGCATCCCATAACCGCAATATTCGCTCAGACAGCGAATTAACTCTTTTTATTCCTTCTCACCGTACTGGTTTTCTTTCTAACCCATTTACTCTTCAGGCAATACGACTCGGAAACGCTCTGCCGCCCCATATTCAAAAACCCCCAATAAGCTAGCTTTCAAACAATTAGTCCGTGATTTCATATTGAAGCCCCAATGTGCATCCCATTAGTCTGACGTTGTTATATATACGTATATGTATCATTAGTGAATGACTTTCTTTAAACTCTTTATTAATTAGGGGCTTTGATAATTATTGAACCAGTCAGCCCGTTATAAAAACAATATACCAAGAAAACATTTAATAAAATCCAGACTTAATCAAAATACTACCTAAGTAAACATGTATACAAAATCTTATCGGCACTACATGTACATTCTCAGGAATTCCACACTCTTGGCAATTTGGTGAGTTCACCTTCCGCATCAAATATAAAAATTCGTGTCTTAGAGATCAAACTATCTTAAAAAAAATTAAGATGTTTCATGTTTAACGTATACAATTAAGTAAGTACCTATAGGTACTTAAATACAGAATACAAATTTCAACCATGACATTGGAATTCCATGATAGATTGCGTATATAACACGGTAGAGTTTAACCATTGTGACGATTTCAAGTGTAATAATGCTTACCTATGAAATAAAGATTATTTTGAGTTTGAGTTTGATAAAGATTCTCAGAATGAAGAGGTCGACTAGTGGGTTAGATATCTTAGGTCACCGACTGTACAGCAGGAAATGAACTATCTATATATAAAAATATACTATACATATTCTTTTTGGTCATACGAAAGTTATCGTAGAACTAAAAAGAATAAACAATCACAAGTTTAAGTACAACGTCACTGACCTGCAGAGCAATAATAGTCTTCTCACCGTTGGCGGAGAAAGCATAGGCACTATAGTGCAAGCAGCTCACGTAATCGTATTCGATTCCCAAGTTGGATACGAGCTCATTGCTATAGATTTGGAAGTTGTTTTCTGTACCTGTTCACAATCATGAAAGAATTTTCAAATAATAGAAGACGTTATACGAAGATCGTACAACAATGAAACTAGACTAGACTCGCCGGGGCCGCTCTTACCAACTGATATGTGCTTGGTTACAGTATTGGGCTTTAAGCGGCTTTTTTGGCCTTAGCTAAGTTTGACGGCAGACAGGAATTTTCCTTTGTTCGATCTTTGTATTAATAATAATAACAAATTAGTGGAGTATTTTCACAAAAATTATATGAATAATTATAGTCGTAAAAACATCATGATATACAATAACTTTGTTTTGAACCTTGAGAAATTTGTTTTTATGAGTACCTTCAGCAGGCTACCACGTAGTTGTGGTATTATGGAGCTGTGTAGACATTTTAAAATAATTAAGCAATACACACCTGCCATAATGTTCTCCTCAACGATCCTCACGTAGTTGTCTCTATCATAAGTGGACTGCATATGAAGAAAGCCGAGGATGTGCAGCCACTCGTGGACAATAGTGGCGTGGCGGAAACACCCGACACCAGGCTCGTTGCGAGCCAAATTCATAGTGTGAATGCCTCGAGGTTCCCAGTAACCAACATTGGCGAAACAGCCGCTTGCAGTGCCCTGGAAATAGATGTTAGATGAGTAAGAAATTTGTTCACTCATACGTGGGGCATACTGATATTTCCTGGAACTGGCCACTTGTAAAAGACACTAAAAAAAAAACAAAAACTAATTTTGAAAAAGGAACTCTTTATGGGTATGCGTTATGACACCGTCGTTTGTTTTTTTCATTGCGGCGTCGTTTTTAAAACTGTAAGTCACCATTACAATGAATTTCAGTCGTGAAAATTTACGGTCCATGATTTTGTAGGATTTTCGATGTGGCTTAAGTCAACAAGAGAGTTGTCAAAGACTATAATTGGCATTTGGTGATGAAGCCATATGTCGTAGCTCCGTATATTCGTGGTTCAGTGACTTTAGATGTGGACGTGATCATCTCCATGACGATGTACGTGAAGGTCGGCCGGCGAGTGCCGTTACCGAATTTAATATTGATACCGTACGACAACTGATTGAAACTGACAAAAAAATACTTGTCACTAAATTCGTACTATATGAGAGACATTGGAATGAGCCAAGGGCAAAAGATATTGCATGTGCATGTGAAGGTTCGGAAACTTTGCCCTCGATGGATACTGCATTAACGGAATACCAGAATACCAGAAACGATTACATAGAGTGGTGCCGCGAAATGATAAAAATGTTAAATGGTGGACAATCATTGGCTGTATATACTATCGTGACAGGTGGCGATACCTGAATGTACTTCTTTGTAACGGAAAGAAAACGCCAGTCCGCAGAATGGGTCTTTCCTATTGAAGATTTGCCGACGAAAGTTAAGAAAAGTAGGAGCATTGGTAAGAAAATGGTTGTCCGAGCGGAAGTGAAACGCGGTACGTCTTTACTGCTCTTAAAGCAGGGAAATAAAGCATTAACTGTGAAAACAGTAACGAAAGGTTTGGAAATTATTTTCTATTTATGAAACAGTTGCAAACAAACCCTTCTATTTCGTATTTTGTTATGCATTGAGTTAGAAGTATCACTTTTTCGTGGAGTAAGCCTTATGAATACCTGTCTGTCGCAAAGGCAGCAGTGAGGTTGTAATAATAATAATTAATCTCTACTGGGATCGGTCCATTATCACAGACAGAACTATTCTTGCGAATAATCCTGATATTGTGATATTGGATCAGTCGCAGTCGAGGGTATTTCTTGTGGACGTTACCACCCAAGTGAAAGCCGAAACCGAAAAACGCCTGAAATATCTCGACTTAGCGCAAGAGATTACCGACGTGTGGGATGTGGCCTCCACTGAAATAATTACAATTCTTTTATCCGCAAACGGACTAATTCCAGTCAGGCTCGCTAGTAGCTTTAGGCGGTTGGATTCCTGTGGCGTGTCGCTTCCAGCACAAATGCAGAAGACGGTCCTGCTCGATACGGCAGGTATTGCACGCCGGTTCTCGAACCTGAGCCCCGGCCGAGTGTGCCATTGCCGGGAAATACCGCCTCTTCCATTTAAAAATTCAAAATGTATCTTTTAGGCCTTGGAAGAGACTAGAGTCTAAAATAGACATCAATAATAATAATAATGCGCACACACTCATAGCCTCGCACTAGGGAAACCCTGTATCGCGGGTGACATGGACACACACTTAGACGACCACAAATTACACGAGAGAAATAAATGTATCCCGATGGGTCCCGGTTCGGGAATCGAACCCGGGCCCTCTGCGTGGCAGTCCAGCATGGTAACCGTTCGGCCACTAAGGCAGTTATAACGGTTAAACGGTTACAAACGGTGGAAAGGTTCCGAATCGACTATGCTCCCCCCAAGCCACCTGGGAGAAGCAACGCCCCTCCTCGGAAGAGACAGGAGTGCCTAACCTGACCTAACTGCGCAAGCAGTACTGAACTATATTGAAAAGTTTTCTTAAAGCGCGCTCCTGAATTTATTAGCTTAGTTGGGAAAAGAAATATCTTTTTAAAAAGAATTACATTTTCATTAGATATGCCTAAAATACAATTGCATATAAATATGCATAATTTAAGCAACGAAAGAATAATTTTAGATTTAGGCCGCATCTTATTTTATTTATATAATAATAAACTAAGCAGTAAATTGACCAAAAACCAATAATACTCGTAGGTCTCAGTATACTCACAGTCACTCGCACATAGACGGTTTCCTCAGGCTCCCGTTTGCGGAACCTAATGCAGGTGTGTTTCTCGATGTCGGCGATGCCTTCCTCGATAGCTGCTTGTTGTAGAGGACCTGAAGCGTATACGATATTTAAAACACTATGCATTACATTCCACTGAAGGGTCACATAAACGACTTTTTTTCACTTATGCGCAACGAAGCTGCCTAACTGATAAGCAGACTGAAGGGAAACTCCAACAGCTTTCTACAAGTTGTCTAGGAAAGCAAAAACTATCCGTTGAACGTTATGTCGATCAAAAATATGTTAACACCATTAACCCATTTATACGTCCCACTGCTCGGTACGGGTTTCCTCTCAGGCGAGGGTTTAGGCCATAGTTCGCCACGCTGGCCCAATGAGGGTTGGGAATATACACGTTTTCCGAGGGTTGTGAACCTTTTTCGACGTGCAGGTTTCATCACGATGATTTCCAATGAATTTGAAATGCTCATGGTTTTCAAATTAAATTTCACACATAAATTCCTAGAACCTGCAAGGTGTAAGCCCGGATTCGATCGGCATCTGCTTGAGAGACTGTAGGTCAAATCATTGGGCTACCACGGCATTCTCAAAATATGTCACTAAATTCTTATGTTGAACGGATTGCTCGTCTGTAGGGGTTATGGACTTGTGTTCAGACATGCGGACTTGTGGACTTTGTAGTCCACCACATTACTGGAGACGATATAGTGAAAAACTAAGAAGCTTCTTCTCCGACAATGGCTTTTTCTGAGTATTTTTCTTCATCGTATTGCTTTAAATGAATAATGTAACCAATTAATCATTCAAAAGAAACCGTCAGCCTCATGTTTAATAAAATACTTAAGCACTATGTAGATCACATAAAACTCCATTTTAGCAGATGATCGTAATGGCAAATCTATATTACATAATTTACAATTATAATTACGCAATATAGACTTTTTTATAAAAAAAACCCAACCTCAAAAGTTCGTACAGTTACATCTATTTGACAAGGTTTATTGAAATCGGTTACCGGAAAGTCCGCGAAACTAGGTTCATCCCCTAGTTTGCCACCCTTAGAGGTGAAATATTTCCTTCAAATTTAAATGGGACTTTGGGACATTTCTTTTTCTCTCTCTTTCCAACAAAAAAAAGAATCATCAAATCGGTGTACAAATTGAGAACCTCCTCCATTTTTTGAAGTCGTTTAAAAATTCATATTGCGTTTATTTACATATCGTTTTTTGGCGCAACCTTCAATTATTTATTTTCAACTAGCGTATAATGACATCCTTGTACACATACTAAATTTTGTTGTCAATGACTTGTAGGTGATTCGTAAAGAAAGCGTAATACTTAATTGTAAATAAATTTTCACTATAGCGTTCATAGATTTTCGCGATTGTTACACATAGGAAATGCAAAATTTCTTTCACATCTAATTCGCGTTTAATTTTCAAACAACTAACGTTTCAGTCGGTAGTCAGTCTTAAGCATGGAACCTGTAAAGAACCCGAAACGTGGAAAACGTTGAAAAAACCAATATACACAATATAGATCAGAAAAAATAGTTTCATTTCCAATATAAGTATTTTGTTTTGTTATTAATACAAAGATCGAACACTCAGAAAAATCTCCTTCGATCCGGCCGGATTCGAATCGACGCTTTCTAGCATACCGTGTCAGACGCTATACCAACTAAGCCACGGAACGAACCAGCGGACCTCACGAATTTTTCTATGTGCTTGCATCGTTTCTTTGTATTTGGTTTTTCAACGACTTTTTAGACGACAAATCTATGATATTTCGTCACCCAGTTAGATACCTTTACAGCTATCAGCTCCGGCTAGAGATGTCGCTATTCGTTGTATTTAAATTTTTATTGAATTGATATTCAATTAATTTTATGTGAAATTACTCCACTAGTTTGTTATAGTTATGTACAAAGATCGAACACTCAGAAAAAATTCCTTCGATCCGGCCGGATTCAAACCGATATCTTCTAGCATACCGTGTCAGACGCTATACCAATTAAGCTATATTTTGTGTTGATTTATCTCCGTTCTATGTATGTATCTTGTTAATTTTATATACCAATATTCATATTATTGACTGAACGAACTAACTTGCAATTAAAGCAACTACCCACTTATTTTAGAATAATTTTAATATCTACTTATCTTTGTCGTTCGATATTACAACCGTACTCATATTATTTTCATATTTTTCTCGTGTTAAGTGAATTCTTAGTGAGAAATAAATTTCTAAACCTAGTTACATACTCTGGTCTATTCCGGCCTCTAATTATCATTGCTGTGACAGTGATAGACAGTAAGTAAGAATAATATAGAATGTAGGTAGGTAACCAAACGAAGTATCATGGCTTGACCTTTAAGTAATTATATTAATTTATTTATTGCGTTATAGGTAGGTATACATATTGAAATGGTTTATGATAAAATAAAGTCAACAATCCACAGATCTGTGTGATCGATGATAATAAGTTTCAACTCACTCTTTGGATTCGGTATTTAACTACGTATTTATCAATAGATATGGAAATATTTTAAATTTGATCGTATCTGAATTAATTATACAGATTAGTGGATAAGTGTGGGTAATAGGATTATGGAGTAGCAGGATTAAGTTCATTTATTTTGAAATGACCAGATTGAATGACGATCTGCGAAATTCTGCTGGCAACAGAAGGCAAGCTGAGGATCGAATGAAATGGCGCGCATTGAGAAATATATATAGCCAGCAGTGGACTGCGATAGGCTGATGATGATGAGTGGCCTCCTTCGAAAAGGTAACTTGCAAAATGAGTCGGCCGAGCGGAAACGCAGTCCGAAGACGCAGTCGTCGCGAACCCGCTTCGACACAGGCGGCGGGGAAGAAGGCGAACGCGGTTCGCTGCTCGCCGAATTCCCTAATGCGGCCAGCGGACAGTCCCATATCAGTCTACATAAGTTTTGTTTATAGTGTCCCTCCCTATCAACCTCTTGGTTATGCGGGAAGGGCACTATGAGCTCGCTCGCACATGGACCATCTAAGTCAGGTCTTAACCCCGGATCAGCACGTTGCACGTACTTCATCCGGTTCTCTGTAAGGCTAGTGCCTTAGGTGAACCGCCCCGGGTGCACGTACAGCACCCTACCTATTTTCCAGATAGGTACCGGAGCTGTAGTCACGCTCACTTCCCGTCGCGCTCCGCACGACTAACGGTTGCCACTGCTGAGCCGCCAACTCTAAGCCAACTACCAAATCTCCTCATTGGTGGCGGAGCTGTAAGCTGTAAGGCGGCCAGCGCACAGGGGACAGCGATCCCCTGTCCGCATTTCACGGTCTCACTTGTCCCTCCCTTCTCTAGCGCAGGAATCCTGGTGAAAACCGGGGCGGCCAAGGGCGTCGTTTTGATGTATCTTCGAGATTTCACGGTGCTCACACCTGACAAAGAGGGTAAGCCGAGGGGTTTTAGTGGATATTCGTCCCACATAACCCCTGAGCGTCCCCGGAGCTTAATGGTATGCATAAAGCATTAATTAATGATGACGATTTTTTGAAATTTACTACTGTTCTTTATTGTTGCGTTGTTTAGTGATCTACCGGAGTAGATGGCGCTGACGTCAAAAACCGTTTAAACCTATTTTAAAGATCTGCAACTACACAGAGAAATTCGTAAGATGTGCCGACTCGGTTTGTAGCTCAGTTGGTAAGTGCCACACCGGGGCTGCCCGGTGTGGCAACAGACGCTGGTTCGAGTCCAGTCAGATCGAATTATTTTTCTTTGTGTTGTTCTATATTTATTTATTTATTTATTTATTAGGTTTACCGACATCTGTGTACAATATTACTTATTATATATCTTATATCTTTACAAGCGATGTAATTGCCCCAAACACTTAGAGGTAAACACAACATGCACTAAAACATAACTATGTTTAACTAAAATTTAAAATAATATTAACACCCGTTAGGGGTCCGTGGACCACTTGTAAGAAACGCTGGAATAGTATATGTATAATCAACTGACTATAAGCATGACCAACTTATTGTGGCTGCTTAATTTTAATTATAATGTTATATATTTCAGCTAATTAAACATACCGAACTCTCCCTCTCCGTATTCCCAAACAACAGTGTTGTTGGGCCACTTGGTATCGGGCCAGATGTAAGCGTTACGGCCCGTGGCGTATTCTTTTAGCATATCCTGGATCATGAAGTCGTCGAGAATAATATCGCCTTCGAATTTGCCGCTGTTCTCCTCAGGGTTCGCCAAGGGAGAGGTCTGCCTCATTTCCAGGTTGGTGCCATCGTCTATAATTACGTAAAATTTTTATTATTCTAATTAGTTTCTTTATTATCATTAAGTTAGCGATTCGGATCTACAATTGTTTATATTACTCATATTTATAGAGATGGGAAAAACTGCTAATTTTAAACGTTAAAACGTTGTGTTCAACGTTTTTGACCTAAACGCTTTTTAGTTTGAAGCTTACAAAATCATTTAAAAAAGCGTTTAAGCGCATAGAAGCGCAACGTTATGTGGATAGCGAAAAGCAAGAGTAGACTATTAAAGATTTTAACATAAGTAAGTTTATTTGTAAAACACGAGTTATATTTTTATTTATAAAATTATTATTCACCTTGACGAATTAAGTTGTTTAGAAAACATAGATGGCGGAACTTGACACATAAGCACGTTGACCAACGCTTACACTTAAATTGAAAAGCGTGCTTATGTGCTTATTTTAAAAAGCAAACTTTTAAGTGCTTTTCGTTTAAAGTCCACCTCATCGTATTAACAAAGTTTTATTGGTTATAGGTTCTTGTATTGATTTAATATATAATAATTGACAAAGAAGATAGTGAAACCGCGGCGAAGAAAACGAATTATAAAACAAAAACGAACAGGTCAACATTAGAATTAGTCTATATATTAGTCTTTTTTAAAAAACCTTATCTATTACAGACATGGTTTACATTAACGCTAACTACGCTATATCTGCTATATATCAGACCGTGTATCTGGGTACCTGTCTCATTTATTTAGTGCTCTGCACTAAATTTTTAACTGTTCTCTTTTGAAACGTTGCTAAAAGGGTGAGACGATTTTTTCGTATATATGAGGTACTAAAATGTAACTCCGACTTAAGGGCCAAAACACAAAACTGCAAATTGGCGCGATATGTATAGCAATAAATAAATAAAATACTATGTATATATATAATACTCTATTATCTCTCGTAAAATTAAACCTAGTATATTATGTAGTAGATACTTACCGATTTGAGTGCTTTCCAAGAAGTGTCTAAAGTATTCAATTTCTTCTCTAGACCTCACCACTGAGGGCGAGCCCACCGCCAAAGCCACCAAAGCCAACACAGCTACCAACCGCAACATCTTGACTAATTTCCTCTCACGTCATCGCCTCACTTATATACGAACAATTATTTGATTATCTTTACAGATTAATAAGAATATTTTCATAAAATATATTTTGTGAGTAATAAAGTTATAACCACCAACCGTGTAACAAAACTTGTTTGAATGTTTGTTTCTCAATAACATTGTAGGTGATACATCGTATAATCTCACTTGAGATTATAATCAGTAATCTATCCTAAGTTTATAAGTCCGCGCCACTTCACCTTTATTACAACTGCGGTATAATGTCTTAAATTGTCTCTCTCCACAATGCTGTATCTATGAGCCTTTCCAAAACAACAGAATGTTGGTCTGAGATTTGAGGGGGCGCCCGCCGAGACGCCTCCAATAAGCCTACGTGTCGCAAGTAAACGGGCTGTGACTTCCCAATTCATTTATAATTGCACCATTTGCACACGAATTTCCGATCACTGGAGAAAACATCATAATCATCCTACTTAAAAGCCAGGTTCTTGTCGTCGATGTAGCATCTGCTACTCCTTACGGGTCATAGCCAGCTCCTTGACCACTTTATAGCTACTCACTTTAATGTTCTTCTTTATTTGATCAACGTACGACATTCTTGGTCTTTCTCTCTTTCTTTTTCCTTCTATTTTTAATTGAAGGGAAAATTAGACCCGCCGCTGTTTCGACCATTTGACGCTAAGTATTCCATATTTAGCGTGCCTACTAGAAGACGCCAGGGTAATGATTTAACCCGGGTGCTAAATGTTCTAGCGTCGGCGCTGTGGTTGGAATACGATCCTCTTTGCGTCTCGGTCTCCTCCGACAAACGTTACGACTACCAAATCTAAATTAACAGTTTAGCAAAACCCGCAGGTGTCTAGTAGTAAAAGATAATTACCTGTTAAAGATAACGTAATTACTTTGATTTGGTTCTGGATTTCCACTTGTTGTTATTATCGATGTCATTTTTGTGATAAATATAATTTCGATCATTTAGCACCAAACAGTGACGCAATTGCACTTCTTGCAAATTTTACAAGAGATGGTTTTGAAATGATTTTTTAATGTTATTTCAAATTCATGACGCGTGAATAAGACGTTATGTATTTACACATTATATAACAGATTAATATACAGCGCCGCCGCCGGCGGCGCCAACCCATGTAGCGCCCTACCCTGGCGCCCTGTATATCAAAATGGATTACTTGCAGTTATTTTCCCAAGTGATCGGAAATATTTTACTTCGCTTTTGCCGAGCTGGACGCAAACACTATGGAGACGTAGCGAGCGGCGCTCGGGGCGCACCCTAAGGCCTAGCGCCAGTGTGCGCCGCACAACCTGCACCATAAGTAAAGCCGGCAGCATTTATACAGGTAAATGGGCCAGCCAATTAGAGTGTGGCCCATTTACAGTGGTCCACAATTTTTTTTACATAGAGGACATTGTAACAACCCATTTAAAATAAACATTGGTTCAGCGAAAATCCATACTTGGAAGTTATCATTTTCTTATGTACTTTTTTGAAAATTTGCTACTCCAGGTAGTCATTAAAACCACTCTAGTTTGAAAACTATTCCACTAAATTAATTGAAATTTGGTATGGTAGTAGTGCGACCATGTACATAGCTAGCATGCAATGAGCTATTTTTGTGTTTGTTCTAAGAGTGCGCCGTTATTTTAGACATTTAGGAGATTTTTAAAGGTTCAGGAATAAAATGTTAAACTTTGGAAAAAATCTGACAGTGAAAAATGTACAATCAGAATTTGCTAAAGGCCTTAAAACTACCTTAAGATGGCCATCCGGTATATACATATTTCTTCTGCTGATTTTTCTTCAAACGTAAACACCCGTTACAGGTGTTTTGACATACCTACATATGACTAAAATTAAAAACATACTATCACATGTTTCACAAAATTACTAAGTACGAACTTTATTACGCGTTTTTTTATTATTATCGGAAACAGTGCCTATTGCTAATTACAGTATGTAACCGTGCTTACATGAATAAAATTGAAAACAATATTAAGCTAAACCCGAATATATTTTGGTCTCATATAAAATCAAACAGACAATCGAGGGACCCCACGGCGTTTGGTACGTCCAATTCACAGAAAGTCGCAGACGATTTTTGACATTCTTTCGAAGCGTGTACCTAGGGTCGGCTCCCGCATTAAATCCTGGTGATGCCTTCGCTACCGTGGCTGCGGCGATTTCTGGATCGTGCTAATTACTGACCGATCTACATATAACTGGAACATGTAACTGAATCTGACGTGTACGCCGCTCTAGAATTAAACATTAAAGCCTAAAGTAACTCAAAGACCAGACGAAGTTCCGCAAGTAATAATAAAGGATTGCAGGAAAACATTTACTAGGCCGTTACTTCATATTATAAATTTGTCCATAAATCATAATACATATCCTAGAGTCTGGAAAAACATCAAAAGTTCTACTCATACATAAGTCAGGTTCAAAAGCCGAAATAAAAAATTATTGTGCAGTAGCTGTCTTATCGGCTTTCGCAAAAGTTATGGAAACCATTATGTGCAAGTTGATTTACGAACTTCGGCGATGGTTCTGTGATCAACAGCATGGATTTTTGCCGGGCCGCTCTACTGCTTCCAATTTGATTAACATTAGGGTAGGTTGGTGTAAGATGGCGCACTTTTGAAACAAACCGAATTTGTTTTACTTTTCTTTGGTGCTTTGAAAGATTTTTTTAGGTATTTTGGGTGTTGGTTACATTTTTTGCAATAGCCTTCTCAACGTGGATTCTGGCATTCCTAAGGATTTTGTCACAGATATTTTACTATTTCCTTGGTCGAGGATCTTACGCACTTCTGCTATAACAGAAGGTGTCCATGATTGACTATCACTCTTCTTTTCGCGCCTTTACATTCTGCAATAAAATAAAATAAAATCTTTAAAAACAAGTCCAGATCCCAAACATTCAAATAAGGTTTTGTAAGTTGGCGCGTGCCGTCTTGTACACCCACCCAGTGCGCCAACTTACAAATTTTGCCTTAGTAAAGAAATTCATATACTAACGCCATCTCTTATAAAACGTCGGATTTTTTTCGTTTTTAAGCCAATGTGAAAGACTTTTTTGATCAATAATCAAGTCGAAACACTGAATATCTGGAAATATTTTGCATGGCCATCTTACACCAACCTACCCTACCGTCACTATTGCTAATGAGTTGGACAAGTTGGAAAGCAAGTCGACGTACCTTACTTTGACTTTCAGAAGGCTTTCGATCAGATTGATTGTGATATTCCGCTTCGGAAATTAGTTTCTACCGATTTCTCTGTAAACTTGGCAACATTTTTTGCCGACTATTTAGCAAACCGTCAGCAATATGTGCTTTACAACTGGTGTCAATCCCAAGCGTATACGGTTACCTTTGGTGTGGGTCAGGGGAGTTGCCTGGGATCACTCATGATTCTGATTGTAGTTAATAACCTGCCGCTAACTGTTCGACACAGCATGTCCCTCATGTTTGTGATGACGTCAAATTGACCATGACCATTAAGTCGGAAACTGACTTGTGTCATCGGTTCGGTTATTACCCCTTACTTCACCCCACTACTTTTATTTTGGGTATAGTCGGCTACAGAACGTTGGAAGTAAGACGCAATCTAACTCTTGTGACCTACATATTTCGCTTGGTGCGTGGAATCTTGTACAATCCATTCATACTATACATGATAGGCTTTTTGATGCCTAGGACCAACCTGGTGCGGCCTCACAGAAGTAGGCTGTTTGCAATACCTTCTACACGTTCTAGGGTAAGTGATCTGGCTCCTTGGCCCCGCGCGCTTAAGTACGTTAAGTAAATTCAATCAGATGCTTATCTTTGACTCTTCTTTTTGGACCCCTTTGCATGCTCAGAAGCCAATTTTACAGTTTCCGCGAGACGTTATCTGGAGTCATTGACCGGAGACAGCAGCATCATATAAGTATTCTGCATCCCGAATAATTAATAATAATAATAATAGTAATAACGCACACACTCAACATAGCCCCGCACTAGGGAAACCCTGTGTCGCGGGTGCCATGGACACACATAGACAACCACAAATTACACCCAAACTCACGAGAGAAATAAATGTAGGCCATACAAATATTTCTCCCGGCCCGGGAATCGAACCTGGGACCTCTGCGTGGCAGTCCGGCATGGTAACCGATCGGCCACAGAGGCAGTTAAAATTAAAATTAATAATACTATTTTAATGTTTGAAAATTTGATTTTTAATAATGTACTTGCGATGTATCCAATTCTTCTTGTATATGTAGTTACTATACGCGTGGTAAATTTAGGATACTTATTTTAATACACTTTTGTCTTGTTAACACCCCCCTCTTATCTGTGAAACATTGCACTGGTTCCCTGGTAATTAAGGGTTGTAGGTGCCATTTCCATTGCTTTTTTTTTAAAAAGAAAGGTAACATCATATTTACTTTTTGTGGTAAATATTTTACCATTATACGTTTACAAATTGAGAACGTAGAAACATATACACGACGAGATGAAATTCAAGACCCGAAATATAAACAAATAACTGTCACTGTCAAATTAGTGCAAATACGAACGAATGATAAATAAAAAACTTTAATGGTAGTCCAAAATTGTATTCATTTTTTTTCTCTATATATAAAAAAAATCTTTCAGTAACTCTACAAAATAAAGAAATAGAATATCATTATAATACTTCTACTGTATAGAATATAACAAACGTAAAAATACAAAAAAATATTGGACGTTACCATTCTTCATTCCTTCAAATTTTTAATATAAAAATTATTCGGACTCTCAGCCATCTCATGCAAAACCATACTTTACTGAATACAAAAATATCTTAAAAACTATTCTTACGTCTATCAGTTCAGTAAACGGACTATATAACTATAGATGCCACTACATTCATTACAATTCTATCAAATCCTTGTTCCATGAAGTTCCAATAACTTGCATTAAAAAATCGAGACTTCATGAAACAATACTTTATGCTATTGGCAAATATTGT